CTCCTCTGTGCCAAATTTCATCTTTCTGGTTTCTGGGAAGTACTAGTTCTATTTTGATGATAAGTGAGTGTCGAATAAGCACAACATTACTTTACCATAACTCAGGAAATAAATAAGCTATAAACATGAACATTTTTCGTTTAAGTGTATGCTTATAGCTTTCTAGATAACAATTATTTCAACCTTCTAAATATATTCAGAGGCCCTCAAATAGAGGCATGAAAAAACGAAGAAACTATTCCATAAAAGGATAGTACCACAGTACTTGTTTCGCTCCCAGATAAGAGAATTAAAACTATACAAACTTATAACATTTTTCAATTATTGTATCTATACCAGTTTTACACCCAAAAATACTTATATTCTTTTTACAGACGAGTTTTAGTACAAAGACGCATTTATACTAGATATTACTAAAAAAAATATGTGTTTATTGCAGTTTTTATTAGTGATAAATAAAAAAAACATTTTCGACAGAATTTAAAAGATTTTTTAGACTAGCTGAGGTATACTGTACTACCCTATAACCAAAGATTATCTTTCTTCAAAATACTGGGCTATATGTATGATAGAAAATTTTAAAAAGCAAATTCTTTTTCTGCCATGTAGTGCGAGACTAAACTTTAAGTAGAAAAATATTATATTACGAGTTACCACCAGTGAGAACTATTTCAAAATTCACGATCACTAAAAATAAATTGTTATCCATTGCATGAAAACGGACGGTAACTGAAGTACAATAAGATGATGACTAATTTTTGTTTGTTTGTCCGTCAGGTAGAGTGTTAAAAAATATTAAACAAGTATTTTTTATTTTTTTTTGTAATCATAAAATTACGGCGTTACATTGAGTTGAAATTTCTCATGACGTCACGTTAGAGTACGAGTTTTATACTCAACTGTGACGTAGCGAGCCCCCACTTCTCAACTTTAATGCCTATTATATAAGCTATTTCTTGTTAAATTGAAGTAAAAAAAAAATACGTATCTAATATTTTTCTATTATCTGACTGACGGACTAAATAGAATTGCATTTTTTTTACCCAGTCATCATCCCTATAGTGGATGGTAGATTATTGCAACCGTGGGTTTGCAAAGTGGTCGTCATGGTTGGACGGTCTTCCCTTTTCACTGTTCTCGCCAGCATCAGTGCCCGATCTTAATTCTAAATACATTTGCAGCGATACACACTACTCTATGCCGAGTACATTGATTACAGATACATTTTGGGAAACTAGCGACAAAGACATCCTTCAAATTGCTACATAACTGAATATTCGGGGAGCGACAAGGGCTATATAAATTAGAGTTCTAAAAGGAAATTATAGTAACCATCGTGGCAGGTAATGATACATCTGCTGTGGCATCACTATTCATTATGCTTATTTTGTTCAAATATCAAGTTATACCTAGAAGAGAATCTGTATCTGGAATAAATAACACCCATTTTCTACAATATGGAAGGTATCGCTTAACTAAGAAACGCATATACATTCTAATATTCCTTGACATATTTGTGATCAGTCATATTAAGCAAATATACGCAAGACATATAATAACGTGTCGCATAACGTAATTTTAATTTCGTAACTTTAAACATTACTTAAAGTCGTCAGGTGGTTCCTAATCATTGGTGAAATACATTTTCTCCTAAAATGATATCTAAATATTGAGGTGACGGATATGGGAGACCCATAAGTTTAGTGAAAACGTGCGTAAGGGCCTCTGTGACAAATATTTAAATAATTTCCACAATACCAATTATAACGACTAACAGTTTTGTGGATTGCTGATGCAATTTTAATTTACATAATTTTATGAACATAAGACAAATAAGTAATCACTAAACAAAATAACGAATAAAGATGGAACATGTTTCCACGGTTTGTTAAAAAGATTGTGATATTTAAACTAAGTAATCTAAATTTACATTTATATGTAAACAGCAAGAAAATTATTTTTTTATTGTGATACCTTTATACCTTGATTAATAACATTATCATACCGTTTCCAGATTAATGGAAAGACTCGGTGATAAGAACGATATCACAACTGAGGATATCAAAAGAGACGGGAGTAGTCACACAGAAAACTTAAGTTATAAAACTTAAGAAGGCCCGAAAGAATCTTCGATATTTAAATATGTTCTAGGTCCAACTCTTTCACAGAAAATGATACAGTAAAACTAGTTACAACTTTCATAATCATGAAGTATATTTATTTTAAATATACTTCATGATTATGTTTTTGTTTGTATTAAATCGATAGTTATCGTACAAAAATACTAAGTAATATTTTCTTTATTTGGCTACAAAAAACAAAATGGTATTCAAAAATGTACTAGCCCGGAATATTGTACATTTACCTTACTTTAAAGAGAGCCTTTGTGCCAGTTCCTAAATAAATTATTGTACAATCATTTTATCAAAAATTGATAACGATAAACTTTTAGAAATCTATTCCTAGCTATTTGGACTCAATAACCTCAATTTAATAAAATGTATAACTAAAAAAGAAGTTTCTGTTGATCTTTTCAGACGCTACTTTGGAATTATTTTGTATCGAGAGAAGTTAATAAAATTGTGTTTTGGTTACGATTATAAGATCACAATAAGTATATCCACAATTTTTTGGAAGTGATGTGATAAGTCTCACATAAATTACATCAATTCAAGCTCAATTTTATCCTAAACTAGCGGACCTTGCGAACTTTGTTCTTCCCAACAGTTAATGAAAAAGCAGATTTAGGATTTTTAAATAAATACGAAGTTATTCAGTGATATATATAATTTAAAAAAAGAAAACTATAGACATAGTCAACATTACTTGTACTGTCAGTTTCTACTTATAATAACAAATCAGTATTATCATTGATTTTGAGTCTTTTATAATTATTATTTTTATTGATAAAATAGAATATTTTAACCTATTCTAACGAAGATAAATCTAAAAACACAAATATCATAAAAAAATCGGTACAGCCGGTCCGAGCCGAGTTATGTAACTAACACGATTTCCTTTAGATATATGTAGATGCTGGGATCGGAAATAGAAAACGTTTGAAATGCTGTTGAAATGCATTTAGTGGTTTATTACCACTATGGCTTGGTCTTCTTAGGCGGCATTTCCGTTGTGATGTATAATGACAATTTCGTATAAGTAATTACCGTAATCAACAAAGCAAAAAATATATATTATAATATTTTTAAAAAGGTAAAAATATGTAAACAATTTCCTGTGTTATTTCTTTTCAACTTAAATGATACGCAACCCGTATTTATAACTTATATTTTACAATTAATTACAATCTAATTCACAAATTATTCTATTACAATAGTTAACCGCACAACCTTTCTTTTATATTACAAATTTAAATGCTTCATAATTTAAAGCAATGCTTATTATACCAAATACTTACTTCATACCAAAATGCTTACTAAATCTATTAAATTTATTTTGACTACTTGGTTCAATATTCTTAAAGAAAAATGCTTAAAAATCCACTTTGTCCCTGGCACTCTGAGATGGGATTCGAACCCATGACCTTTCGCAATCCGATAAAGATGTGTAAGTACTGTGAGTAATCTGCCCTACGATTCTGTAAAACTTCAAACCCGATTTCGAAATCACTCGGGTGTCCGAATTCACTTCAAAAAGCGGCATCCGCTCAAACTTGAATTGGTAATAATGTTTCGTGAAATAAGTGAAGTGAGTTTCGAAATGATATAGGATTAAAATATCTATGACACATTTAATCAATCAATTTTGTTTAGTATTTTTATACAAAAAATGGAATCAATATGATTTCTATACTAAATGACGAGAATTCGGACACATGAGTGAATTCGAATTCGGGTCTGGATTGTTACAGAATCGCAGGGCTGGTAATGTACAACGCGTAATATGACACGAGCGCGTGCTGCAACAGTACGTATTACCCGATAAAATTAAAAAAGCATAGTACATGACGCTAAACACTGCAAATACCACAGATAATACTATCAGGCGCTCCCGGCGCGGCAAGGCATATTGTCAATTTCGGCTTAAATAAAAAATGAGCAATTACTATTTATTAGCTGTGATTAAAAGTGTATATATTCAAATGGCAACAAAAAGGCAAAAGAAAATATAAAAAAGGGTACCAAAAATGAAAATTAATAATTTAATATAAAAAATAACTCGTTGTATGTAAAAAATAATTATGATAGATAGTTTGTTGGCTATGAATATCAAAACATCCGATATTTGTAGTAAGTAAGATTGCTACTTCAGGCCAATATTGCTAGCGTCATATCGGGTTGGTTAATTTTCAAGCTGAGACTGAATACTCAATACTCAAACTAACAATAAATATTATATATATTAATCAATTTGTATCAAGATATATATAAACTATATATACAAAATAAGAATAAAACTATTCAGTACAATTACGGGTATATGATGGTACTGAATGTTAATCGGTCCGGCTGCCCGTTACGTACTAGCGAGCCGTACGCATAGAGTCCCATCTTAGGTCATGTTAAGAGTATTGAGTCATGCTTTAATGTCATATTACACGGTACGAAATGTCATGCGAGTGACAAGAAATCGTAATTTCTATCATGTACACACGGCTGCACATCAGGTTATCATAATATGTCAAATTTGCCCAGATAATTTTAAACTCTATCCTCAAAATGTTAAAGCTATAATGTAGTGGAATAATTTGACAAAGTTGTATAACCTGGCGTGCTGATTGTAATAAGTTCGACCTACCAGATAATTCTAAAGACAAAAGAAATATTGTTAGTGTTCTATCATTTGAGCAAAATTTTTGGGTTCATTGATGTCAATGGACATTTAAATATTATAATACTAATCAGCTTTATTTTGTTTTAAGCTTTCATGAATTAGAATGAAAGTTTTCTGCGGTATTAGCTTTAGTTCTAGAAGGCAAAGAACACGTGATCTTTTCGTGATTTTTATTTATCATCCAAAAACGGTGAGTGCCATTTTAATTAGTGGTTATTGTTGAGGCCATTCATCTTATGGTTCCCGTAAGTGCTTCTTGGTCTCGTTCTGACTCTGTATCCATTCTTTGCCCTGACTGATATCGCAATTTCCAGGTCAATGTCATTTACGGGCCCTTCAGCTTCAAAGTAGAACTTTCGGATGACGTGAACGACCATCGTCTTGATCATAGCCGTCGCGTATACACGACCTGAGGATAAAAATAGACCATAATGTAAATATTAGCTGGTTTGTTTTGGAATTTAATAATATAAAAATTAGAAGAAGGCAGTACACACATCCATACCGTAGGTTTGTAAACTAGACCACCGATATACTGTTACTTTATATACTTAGGACAAATCATTGTAATTTCCAGTACTAATAGAAAATGGATGATAATCAATGCATACACAAAATTTTTAAGAGACATATTATATACAAGCCAAAGAGGCATATGGCATAACTTTCCTGGTAACTATGCTCATATTTTTAAAAGCTTCACTACTAAGTAGGGTATTTCTCGCCAAAAATAATAACGAAAAAACATAGCTTATATTCTTTGTAGCAGACGATTTCAGATCAAATACATAAAAAACAGGTTCCAAAATTATAGAATATCCAAGATAACCAAGGTATCGCAACACCGGGTTAATATAGAAAAGTACATTTTTTACATTGACCCGATCGGGTTTCGAACCCGAGAATTCAGAGATGGCGATTGAGAATCAGTCGGCTACTGAGGTCGTAATATTTTATTATTTTTTTAACTAAAGTTTTTATTCACCTAAACAATCCATGGGCCCTAAGCTGAATGGTATGAAAGCATTAGGGTCTCGTTTCTGTACATTTTCCGGTAGAAATCTATCAACATTAACTTTCAGCGGTTCCTCCCAATTTTTTGGATCTCTGTGTATGTCATGGATTGGAATCAAAAGTGACGTACCAACTGGTAGAGTAATTTTCCCTGTAAGAAATGAAAAGATTTTTATTAAAATCAGATGAAATACGCAGTTATCGAATAACTCTACTTTGCGTTAGCTGGTATGTAACGTGGAATGTAAATATTCATTTTACAATGTCATTAGGGATTAAAATATTTTAATATCAGACTGGTTTTGATGAATTTGAAGCACTTTTTTAGGGTTCCGTATCCAAAGGGTAAAACAGGAACCCTATTACTATCGCTGACTCTCTGTCTGTCTGTCTAGGCTGTTTCTTATGAATACTGAAAGTTAGACAATTTTCATCGATGATATATAACAGAGTTCCCACAAAAACCCTTTTTGCGCGAGTCAAACTCGCGCTTGACCGGTTTTGACCGTAGCTAGTTGAACTATATACGTGAAGCAAAATTTCAGCCACACATTCTTATGCAATAGGTAGCGACTAAACGTACAAAATTTGGTCGTTTAGTCGCTAATTAATGTCACCTGATGGAGAAGAAAATTATTATTAAGAATAGCGTCATAATATTTCCCCATTTCATTTCTCCCCTGTCTCAATGTCAGAAATCCTACGTCCGACCGCTCCCAAAAGTTTCCAATCAAACACAACCCGACCAATTCCGACCCATATCTATCCTTTCGTTTATATCCAAAGTATTAGAAGTCTGTGTTCACAAGGAATTCTCTCAGTTTGTTTACCATAACTCTTTATTGAATCGCTTACAATCTGGTTTTAGACCAGGTCACAGTACTGTATCCGCACTGTTGAAAGTTACTGGGGATACCAGAGTGAGAATGGAGAATGGAAAAATAACGGCCCTTGGCCTTATCGATTTTTCCAATGCGTTTAACACGGTAAATTATGACATCCTTCTTGCTTTGTTATCTCATCTTATGGTTTCTGATGAAGAGATAGGGTGGTTCTTGTCCTATCTTCGGGACCGTCAGCAGTCTGTCCGGTTCGGTGAATCCTCCTCATCTTGGTGTGGGTTGGATGCTGGCGTTCCACAAGGCGGCATACTTTCTCTTCTTTTCTCAATTTTCATTAACTTCATTACGCTTAAACTTCAGTGTTTGTATCATATGTACGCCGACGACCTTAAAATATATGCTCAGGCAAATGTCGACAACTTGAATGGTGCTATTGATGCACTGAACAGAGATCTCGGCACAATTCTAAGTTGGTCTAAAAGTTTTGGCATTACTGTAAATCCGACTAAATGCCAATCTTTACTTGTGGGTAGCCGAACGATGACAATTAGGATCGACTACGCTAAACTCAGATCTATCATGAACGACGGCTCTCTTATCCCATTTAGCGATAGTGTGAAGGATTTGGCGCTGCACGTGGATCTTAATCTGAACTGGTAAATTCAAACTACCACTATTTGCCAAAAGGACACTGGAGTACTAAGAGCCTTATATGGTCTTAAGAATTTCCTACTACCAACCACAATCAAGGCAATGCTTGTGCAAACCACAATTTTCCGTATAGTCGACTATAGTGATGTGTGCTACCTCGACCTGAATGCAGATCTACTCAATAAGCTTGACCGTGTTCTAAATAACTGCATTCGATTCATTTTTAATCTCCGTAAATACGACCATGTATCCCCATATCGCACTCTTTTAAAATGCCTACATGAAAGCGTAAAGATGTGAGGGCATTGACCACTTTCTTTTCTTTGTTAGAGTCATCTAACGCCCCAAGCTATCTAACCCCCCACTTTCAGTACTTATGCACGAGTCATACTAAAAATCTTCGATCGTTCACAAATCGACTACTTGCTTGCCCTTCTCATCACTCTGACGTCATCCACTCCTCCTTTTTCGTTAAGACTATTCTTATATAGAACGCACTACTCTCAGACATCAGAATGTCCCTCAATTGGTTAGTTTTCAGAACAAAATTGCGCGACTTTATACTGAAACAGCCAGATTCATGAAAATCGTCATCCCACGTCTAATGTGTATGTATATGTATATATGTATGTATGTGTATGTTATATTGTATATCTATATAATTTATTATATATAATTTAATGTATTTATATGTATTTGTGTGTTTATATCTCAGTATTTGTCTAAGTTGAGTACTATATGTGTAAGATATATTTTCGACTTATTGTTTAAGTGTATTGGTATGCACCTACCTTTAATTTATATTTAGTCTCCACATAAACTAAAGGTTGACTGGCAGAGAATGCCTAAGGTATTAAGTCCACCTTTGTACATTAGTGCAGTATTAAATAAATAATAAATAAAATAAACATGTACTTTCTAAGATATGATCTCTTACAGCTTGACTGCCTCCAGAATGCCTATATTGGAATATAGACAAGACAGTATAGAACGTAGATGACATACTCAAGAAACTCGAGAATACTGAAGATTTTAAAAATTACTTAAGAATGAATAGTGACATTCTGTTGCTTCAGATTTATGGTTCGTTTATGGATCAGTTCACATTCACAATGGATTGTACGTATTCATAAATTAATTTCATATAAATTTAGTGTTTGAATACTTTTCAGTGAATGATTTCAAATTATTACATGAATATTCGAGCATGAATCTATTACCATCCTTAATAGTGATTTCTTCTTCGACAGTCCTCTGTATGAAGCCAGCTATAGAGAAGTATCTCAAAGTTTCTTTATACACCATATCCATGCAATGCAGCTGCTTTAAATGTTGTGTGGTGACGTGTTCTTCTGGGCCAATCACTTCCATAACTTCGTTGTATACTCTTTCCTGAAAAAGATGTTTACCTAAATTTAATTAAATTCCGAGTTTGTTTTTTTTAATTAAATTGGTTCTATAAGGACTGATTATATGTACAACGTATGACCTATAGACTTTGAAAGTTGTATTTATTGTTGTGATAATACATGTTATTTTAGTAATGACATGATTAATGTAAAGGACCTTAGTTATGATAAAGAGCTGGTAAGTTTCTTTCGGTTGTTCTTCTTGTCAGATAAAAGACGTCCTGAACAAGTGGTAGGAGAAAAAAATTTTGGACGATTCAAATGTGCTTGTAATAAGCCTACTTAGATAAAAATATTTTCATTTCATAATAAATTTGAAGTTAACATATACCAATGTCAAAAGAAATATCTTAAACTTTCAATTTTACATTCACAATTTAAAATATTTCTTTCGGCTGTTTGGGTAGATTTCCTGAACATTGATGAAAATCCTCTCACTTTTATTATGGAATATATGAGGCAACAAAGGTATGTACTACAACATTCATACCCGAGACAATAAAGAAAAGTCTTATTTCTATATTGACCACTTTGAAATCTGCATTCAAACCACTCGCTTACGGCGATCGTCAAATAAAATAATAATATTAATTAATCACCTGCCATTCGGGGAGCAGTCCTAAAATCATGAAAACGCCCGAGGCTATTTTCGCGCCTGCTTCCTGGCTCTGTTAAAGTAAAACAAACATTAAATAATTATATGCGTGAGGATTTCGATAGCGCAGTGTACGGGCACTCCAAAATGACTATTTAGGGGTTTAAACCGTATCCCAATTTGGTTGGTTTTGTATGTCAAGGTTAGATTGAAATCTAAATATTAATTTTTAGGGTTCTATATTAAAGGATAAAACGGGACCCTATTACTAAGACCCCGCTGGCCATTTGTCTGTCCATCCATCTGACTGTCTGCCACCAGGCTGTATCTCATGAATCGTGATAGACAGTTGACGTTTTCATAGATGATGTTTTTGTAAACACTAAAGATCTTAACAAAATAAATATTTAGAGGGGCTTTTCACAAATAATACTATTCTATTTTCATAGAATCCTTCGTGCGCGAATCTGACTCGCATTTAGCCGGTTTATTTAAATGCGGTGGAAAAATCAAAACGGTTCTATTTTCCAATTGGTTTTGATTAACAGTTTTATTTATAACAAAATAAGTGGAAGAGTTCTGCCAAATAACAAATATGTCTATATGTAGGTAGTATTCCCGTTTTACCCAAAGGGTAACGATTTTCACAGATTGTGTATTTCTGTTGCCGCTTAAACAATAAACACATGAATAAAATATATAATTTAAAAGGGGGGGGGGGGGGGGTAAGAAAAAGTGATTTGGTCGGTTTTATGTTACTTCATACCTGCTGTATTAATCAATTGTATGTTTATTTTTAGCAAATGTCCGTAGTTTTTTTTTTAGTTTCCTACACTACGGAAAATAATAGTAAATCTTATACTTAAACAAGTATAAGATTTACTTCTTATTCTGATAATGCGGCTATTATTATGTCATATGTCATGCAACATACAAATAGGTTATTATAACAACTTCACATATCACCTTTACCAGTGTCATAAATAGTCGCTGTGACATGTAGATACTGTTTATTAATTGCTATTTACATATTTTAAAATGAAACTTAAACCGAATTTATATAGGTATGTCACATCGTTAAACGTGCAGTTTATTTTTCTTTCTTAATGGCAAAGCGGCGTGTAAATTGCCGAGATCTCACGCGGGAGCTTAATTGAAAATCTTTTTTTTAATCACCCTTTTATTTATGCGCATGCGCACCAAAATGTAAATAATAATTTTATGCAAGATAAGTTCCTGACGTTAAAGTCAAAGTACTTATAATCAATTTTTTTTTTCTGACAGTATTTAATACGAAAAGCTTGTAGCGCGTAATGTATTTCCTCGTCTCCGATTTCATTAGTTGTTAATAGATGGTTTGGACGAGCAAAATGTTTATAAATAAATTTGATGTTATGTAGGTCAAATTCAACGATGGGCGCACGACATATATATAATAATCTACCACTGAGCTAGACTTTACTATTTCAATATTATACATGTTACATTTGCGATTTTATTTCGAATTAAATACCGTAAGACAGATTATTTGAAAATATATCCCTCAGTTATTGTTAGTACCTATATCTCAATCATATAATTGGTACTCAACTAAAGATCGAATTCATGCTTTAAAGGTTTTGTTAGTAGAAGAAAGAAGTTGTATATGGAATTTCAGAGCCGCAACATTAAATCGATAAAGCCGTATGAGACTCGTGAGTCACAGGTTGCCGACCCCTGGGTGGTCTTTCAGCCTATTTTATAGTGTCAAAGTTTAAAACAAGTTGAACTGTTTGACAATACAGGACCGATCAACAAAAGAAAAAATACTCATCATTAATCAATTCCGACAAAATTTATATAGGGGAAGTTTGGCACCATTCGTACACGGGGAACCTTCATACAGTCACTACTACATCTTGTAGAAAAGTCTATTTATTACGACTTTGTGTCAGTGGATAGGCGCCGGCGACTGCCAGTTGTCCATGAATTAGCCACACATACAGCCACTGCGAGCGAAACTAGAGAACTTAAAGTGTTTTGGCATGCTCTTAGTAAATACTTTGTTAATGTTTTTGGATCTTCCTTGCTTTAATTACACGTCAAATTTTACTGGATTATTGCTTAATCGTAAGTGAATACGATTAAGATAATAATAATATAATTATCTATTATAGGTATTTTTCTACGTGGGTTTTGTGTTAGAAAAAATAATTTTATTCTTGATCTTCGGGGCACGTTCGTACATTTCCAGCAAGGGCATATTCGTACGCGTATGTATGTACCCCCTAACCCCCTGTGTGCTAACAATTTTTATTATTATATCAGAAAATATATGAAGTTACCACACTGTCTGAATGTTCCCCAGCCCATGTACGATTGTACCCCGTAATAGGGGTAGATTCGGACATCCATAAGCTTTTAGTAAAATTCAATCCTTTGGTATATTATACAAGATATCGGCTTTGAACTTTTTAAATAAGGAGCAGAAAGTATGCTTTATGTTTTAATAAGTAACTGAGTAATTTATCTTTGATTATCAATATTTTAAAAATCATTGACTAAAAAGTGTACGAATGGTGCCAATCATCCCCCACATATATATATATAACTAGCTGTTGCCCGCAATTTTGTTTGGGTGGCATAGTTACTTTGGGCGGCATTTTTAAAACAAATGTTTATTATCGTTAAAAATACTCGAAATTAAGCTTCATGGTTATATCTTTGACAATGATGAACTTTTACTTCCTTATTTCAACCCTTTTATTACAATAAAAACTAATCTATATGCTATATCCACTTTGTTTAGTGGGTTAGATATGAGGGTTTCCCAGAAATATTATATATAAGAGATTATTAGATAGTTAGCGAAATAAATAGACTATACAAAAATCACGATTTCTTGGTTGACTTTTAAACACACAGCTTTTAAAATTAAATGAAATTCAAAGTTTAAATAGTTAATATACAATGGATAAAAGATCCGTCCAATTAAGAGGCCAGCTCTATAATAATAGTGCCATTAATTTGCACTGCTAAACGTCGATCAGCTGAACTAGCGTCCTTCTACAGTGCGGCTGTACAAAGCCCCGGGAACTTTATTTATTTAAGGTACAGCAAGAGCTATACATGGAATTAACCATTACACACGCGTTTTTTTACCAATTTATTTACGAATGACGTCACACGCTGTTATTAGTGTTCCATTAGACGTGAGACAGATCACAAATACAGAAATAAATCGATTTTAATTTCTTGACTTAAAAAAAACAATACGATGGATATCCTTAAATTTTATGAACTTCTTAGCCAAATACAATATTATTTTTATCTGTTTGCTGTCCGATCCTATATTCAGATGAAAATATTGAAAAAACTAAGGATAAACCACAAATCGATCATTAGTTATTTCTATTGTTATCATCATAACCGACCCAAAACTGTTTGACCAAGAAAGTGTAAGCCCACTTGCTTTTCGCTGGAAAATGTACTGTTTATTCGCCAAATCACTCTTTAATTTTAATGATGGCCTATCTTGAAGTCATTTGAAACCTATTGAAAATTAAGGATTTTAACCACTGCGCTATGGAGCTCGTAAAAAATATTGCATTTTAATAAACAAATGAAACTTACTGTAGTGAAAAGACTGAAAGATTCCCATTTAACCTCTTGGTCGGTCAATTCTCCGCTAAGTATGTACCGGTCCACTATGCCCATGCTCTCTTCAGGTCCCTCATGTTTCTCCAATGCTTTTCTTCGTTTGCCCACTAGATCTTCAACGAATTTATTTAATGTCTCGGCGTAGTTTTTATGTATTTTTAGATTTCCTGACCACCAATAGATAATAGGCACTTGCAACCACCATTGAGTCATTCTTTTGAAAATTAAATCATACACTCTAAAAAACAATAGATATTATAATTTTTAGTTAAATTTAACATTTGCTTTTAGAAAACTTTGTAAAAATAAATATTCCAGAGCCTGTAATCTGTAAAAATATTTTCGATTATTCCGTCAACTTCAATGCGCTCTGTCCTAATTTATGATGTTAAAACTATAGAAGTTAAAGCAGAACAGACGCTAACAGACCAAGATAAATCAGATATGATTTAAAGTGTACAGTATTGCTATTCTATTATTACAGCGTCGAACGCAGCACTGTCAAAGTACAAGAGATTCAATCAAATAAAACTTTTATGAGGTGCGTTTACATCCTGAAATTTTGGTGGGGGTCACTGATGATAAAATATGTCGAGTGATAATTATTTATAGGAGAAGTTGAAATAATTTCCAAGTCTTATTATTAATATTCTTATTTGAGTAGGGGTCATCGACGCAACCATCGATTGTAGAAACTACATACTTAGGAAATTGAAGTCAGTAATCCAAAAAATTGTCTTCGTCCAGTGTGTGTTGCCAGTGATGACTAACGGAAGCGAGACGTAGTCATTCGCTATGTAAGAGATGAATACATAGTGAACTATGTATGACAATGGATAGAGCAATGTTTGGGGTTTCTCTACGTGATCGTATTAGGAACGAGGAAACCCGTAGGAGCACCGACATTACCAAAATTGCTCAGCTGAATTGGCAGTGGGTGGGATACATAGCTAGAAGAACTGATAGCCATAGCCGAAAGGTTCTAGAATGGCAACCGCGTACCGGACGACACTCAGTGTGTAGGCCGCCCACCACGTGGACCGATAATCTTATAAAGGTTGTGGGAAGCCACTGGATGCGGGCAGCGCAGAACCAATCGTTGTGATGATCAATGGGGAAGCAGTGGGCGTCGTACGACTGTTGATGATTAAACCATGAAATGCATCGCAGCTAAGGTCAGAATATAAGAAATAATCCGTACGGCGGCGGCTTACGCAGCTGTTGGAGGCCAAAATCCACTTTGAAGCGCTGAGCCAAAGGAGTACAAGTACAAGACTCATAACGATGAAGGTGCCCTCAAAGACTTTTGTCTTGAGACATTGCGGTAGATTTTCCGAGATTAGGCTGCGTAGCTTCCCGAACGCTGCCCAACCGAGTTGGATCCGTCGATTTACCTCTCTCTGGAAGTTAGACTTCCCTAATCGGACTATTTGTCCCAGGTAAACGAACTCGTCGACAGCTTCCAGTGTAGAGCCTCCAACATTCACTAGAGTGGGTACGACATAGGAGCTTGACATTATTTTTGTCTTCTCCATGTTCATTCTAAGATCCACTTGCTGGGAAACTCTACAGAGGTCTTCGAGCATTGTGCCTAGATCTTCCATGGTCTCAGCCATGACTACGATATCATCAGCGAAACGAAGGTGCGTCATGTACTCGCCGTTTATATAGATGCCAAGTCTCCAGTCCAAAAGCTTAAATACGTCCTCCATTGCGGCAGTGAACAGTTCCGGCGATATAACGTCGCCCTGTCTCACTCCACGTTGAAGTCGCATTGCTTAATTAATTCTTCAATTAGGCCCTGTCACCCTTTTTGAAGAAAAGCACCACCACGCCCCTGTGCCATGCTTCTAGCATCTTGCCTTCAAGTATGGCGGAGATAAATAGCTTCTGAAGCGCTTTCAGGACTGGTAGTCCACCCGCTTTCAGAAGCTTCGCTGTGACTCCCTCATCCCCCGGTGCCTTGTTGTTCTTGAGCTGTTTGAGAGCCACACTAATCTCGTATAGACTGACGTCCGGGATGTCTTCGGTATAATGTCAGATTAATTTGGCTCTAGGGTCTGTAGTCTTAATGACAGGTTTCTCTGATGTTGCGTGTAACTGTCTATAGAAGCGTTTGATCTCCGCCACAAGCTTAGGACGGGATGTAACGACTCTGCCATCCTCTGTGTTTAGCTTCGTCAGCAAGCTCTGACCGAGAGACAGATCTCTAGCGAACACTTTGTAGCCTTTATTCCGCTCAATCGTCTCCTTAATACATTGAGTATTAAATTGGCGTATGTCGCGTGTGAGAGACTTTGAGATCCGTCTATTGAGTTGCCGACGAGCATCTTCAGAAGACTGTAGAACCATTCCATGCCTTTCTTCCATTAGCTTGCTTGTCTGCTCCAAGATCTTGCTTCTTTTTTGGGTACGGCTAGGTTTGAGAAATTTTGAACCCACCGTAAGGACAGCTTCTACGACTCTGTCATTGTATTCGTCCACATTCGAGCAGGTCTCCAGGCAATCGAAGTGGTTTTGAAGTTCGAGCTGAAAGTGCTAGGGGTCCCGGATCTGGGTGGCATCGACTTCAGCAGTCGATACCGTTCGGCTTTTACGTTTAGGTTCAATACGCCTCTTACCATACGGTGATCGCTTCCCGTATTAAACGAATTGATCACTGAGACGTCATTGAATATCCGTCTTAGTCGACATGATGAAGTCGATCTCGCTTTTTATCGGCCCATCCGGACTCTTCCAGGTCCACTTTCGATGCAACCGTTTTTTGAAGAAATCCTTCCCTCTCCATGTAGTCGGCTAGCATTTGACCACGATGAATCCGGATTCCAGATCCAAATTGCCCCACCTTCAACTCCTCATCGCCACGCTTGCCTAGCCTTGCTTTGAAGTCTCCCATGACAACAGTGTAGTGGGTCGTGGAACCATGTATTGACCAAGAAATGTCCTCATATGTGGTTTCCACTTCCTCGTCGTGGTGCGTCGAGCTCGGGGCGTAAACCTGTATGACCTTCAGTGAGTACCGTTCGGTGAATCTGAGTATAAGGTACGCCACCCTATTCGATACACTTCCGATCTCTACAATTTTTTTCACGAGAGACTTGTGGACTATAAACCCGACACCACCTTGGGACAGACCATCGCCCTCTCGGAAATAGAGCAGGTTACCGGATTTAAGGATCATCGTCTCCTCGCCCTCTCTTTGGACTTCAGATAATCCTACAATACTCCAACGAATCCTGCCCAATCTCTAGTTCCAGCAGTTTCTCCTCGGTCCGCAGTATTGTGCGTTATAGGTTGCCAGGACCGAGGTCGTTTGACGGGGATTCTTCGCACGCCTGGTGCCTTAGCAGAGTTGGCGTCCGTCCGCACCGGCACGGCTTACGGGACCGCCGGGCACTCGGGGCCTTTCGATTGGGTCTATTTTTATCTTTGAAAGGTTTTGGGCCGTCTCCCACCACGCTCGCCCAGTGCTGGTTGGTGGGGAGCGCCAGAGCCTCGTTGGTTGATCGGCAGGGTATACCGCGTGCAGGTGAGGTTGGCTTGGGATCCGTTAGATGTTGTTCGGACCCTCTTACACCCTAAATAATGAAAAAAATGCTTAAACCTTTTTTTGAAATATTTATTGGTATAGCATTTTGAATGCAAAATTAGTCAAACATATCATTTGAAAAAAATTTCCTCTAAATCGATAGTGTAGAAAAATTTATTTCGGCTGTTTGGATGGTTATGTAATAATTCATAAAAAAGTAGTAGTAGCGAAAAGTTATAGGTTTTCGAGAAATTTCAGGTTTCGGTTAGCTCAATGATTTCGGCAGTCGCCCGGATTACGAAAGGTTATAATAATAATATAATATTATTGCACATATCGTGTGAACAAAAAAAAACATAAACAACTTACAATTAGAATCACAAAAAAGTATATAAAAGGCGGCCTTATTGCTAAAAAGCAATCTCTTCCAGCCAGCCAGTCCAGCTGCCGGGACTTAAGAAAGACTTAAAGATACTAAAAATAAGGAATTAAAGATACTAAGCCAAATGAAACTATTTTCAAATTCGACAGACCTAAGTTAGAAAAGCAGTCGCCTAGAACCTGAGATAGTCGTTTTTTTTAACACCTAAAAAGTTACTAAGAATATAATTTGCATATTAGTATTGAGCATGCGTGATTGACTTAAAATAACAGGTGCGCATTTTAAACTATAATTACAAATAACTGCGTTACAATATAATATCCTCTCAGTATATTATTTGTATACAAAAATTATGTATATTCTTTTTAATTTACGTTCCATAGACTTACTTTGGTGTTATCTCAATGACTTCTTGCAAACATTCCAAATCATCTACTTCTTCCTTTGGCACACCCATGAGGGTTTCTGCAAACAATTTTATTAATTATTTCCATTAATAAAGTAGGTTCCGTTTTATAATACTCATTCTTTATGAAAGCTTGATTGCTTAAAAACAAACCAAAATGCGTTTTAATCATAGTCCCATACTCATTACGGTCATTTACACTACAAAAAGAAACGTATTCTTCTTGTTATTGGGATACTGACTCAAAAAACTAAGAATAATATCCCATTGTTGTCCCGTCGCGTACAAGATGGTTGGTTGGATGGCGACGGGTGATAGTGTATCATCCATTACAGAATATCAGCTACGTTATTATTAGTGTCCGACCGAAGGTCTATTTTTGGCCGAAGCCGAAGCCGATTAATCGGCAATCGCCACAACCTTCGGCAAAAGCCGAAGCCGAAGCCGATGGTTTATAATTTCTCAGTAATTAATTTTGTTCAATATTGTCTACAAGCTACAATTAATATTAATATTATTTCAAAATTTCAATATTGAAGGTTATATTGACTGTCTCATATAGAAGTTGATTTAGAAATACAGATTTGACAGTGAAGACGCTTGTGCACTACACTGAATTTTCATGTCCGGCGGTCCGATTTTTTCCGGCCTGATATGTCAGGCCATATGTAGGTAATGCTAGCCTGTGCCAGGAATATTTTTCCTGTCTTCTACGTCTTCGCACGTACAGTAATAGAGCAATTACCAACGTTTCAAAAATCTCATCGTGCCTATTGTAAGTGACGTGTAGTTTCACAGAGAGCTACCCTAAAATGTGCCTCTCCGATCCGGAAAAAACGGACAAGTGCACAAGCTACTCATCCGAGTTTTTCATGTCATTCGGGACCGGAAAAAGTCGGCCCGCCGGACCTGAAAATTCATTGTAGTGCACAATCGCCCTGACTCCCCGCGGTCTCTACCAACACGACCGGTCCATAGCTCTCTCACTCAGTCTTTCGAAACAGTTAGTTCAATCTCGACGGTAGCTCGGACCTTCGGCGAAACCTTCGGTTTCGGCCTAGTTTTGGACCGAAGCCGAAGGTTTCGCCGAAGATGGTTTTTTTGGCCGAAGGTGCCCGATGCCGAAACCGAAGCCGAAGCTTCGGTCGGACACTAGTTATTATGTAAAAAACAACCTCAATCTTAACTTCGGGAACAATGTTGTGTCGGCGTAAAGTGTCAATAATCTTTTTGTTTATGGAATTTGTTTAATGATAAACATATGATAACAAAACAGGAGTCATTAAAAGTATTGAAATGAAATGGTTAAATCGTAACATTACCGTTGTTAAAAAAACAGGATTAAAAAACAACGACACTTTAAAAAAATACAAATAAACGATTGAAACGAAAAGCATAAAAGCGATAAATACATCGCTAATCATACATATAAAAAGTACATGACAAATAGAAAAATAAGAGAAAATAAATGCAACACTCACGACAAACTGTACTAGTTGTACGTTGCACAACATCGTAGTAAATATCATAAGTTTCTGGTCCTTTTTTGGATAATACCCTTATGAGTTCCTCCGACTCCTCGTTGAAGACTTGCATGAACATCGAAACTGCTTTCTTATTGTATGACGGTGTAGCTATCTTCCTATGCAGGCGCCATGTTGGTCCTAAAAATTGTGCAATATAATTAATTTTGGAAAATTTATAACAAGAACTAATTGGAATATTAAGGTGACTAATAAATGTACGTTAATGTCAAACTTTTACCTCCACTCAGAATACCAGGGCCTATAAAGGGTACTGTAAATTTGTAAAGCGGTCCTTTTTCATTCACTTTGTTGCTGGTCAATATTAACTGGAATAATAATAAAATAGAGCTTCAATTAAACAAAATCTTTTTTATCTTTTAAGTGTGTTTTAATTAACTTTTAAGCTGCGACTGATTTTATATAGAATAGCACTGCTGCGCTGATTATATACGACCATAATTATACATACATAATATTAATAGATTATATTACTATTTTATGCCAATTTTAAGAAACTGTACAAAGCTTCTATTTGTCTATATTAAAAAACAATATTTTACATAGATATTTAATTCCAAAACTTAAAAAGTTGTTAACTTACTTTTACATCAGCGGGATTTTTCACAGCTATATTTAGATCGGGGCCTATCCAAAACTTGATATATTCTCCAAATGTGTCGAATAACGAAGCAATCATTCTCATTTGATCTAAAACAAAATATAGTATTAAATTTGAGTTTCAAAAGAGAATTAATATTGAAGAGTTTTTCAAATGTGTTAACAAAGTGTAGGTAATGGGTCTTACAAAAACCAGCAAAGTCAGTGGGACTGCCTCATCGGGTGTTCCATACGATTATTTTTCCTTCAATATACCTAGTATACCTAAGTACATTATTTATAATAATATTATAAAGAAGAAATAATTGATTATTTGTTTGCATCGAATAGGTTCAGAACTACTATACTGATTTTTAAAATTCTTTCACCTTCGGGTAACTACGTCATAAGGGGTTGACATAGGCTATAATTTACGCGTGCGAAGTCGCAACTTTTAGCGGTAGTACGAGTGAAACCGTCATTACATTTTAAAGTAGTTACTTTTTTATTGAAACCCTAATTCTATAACAGCGCTGTACTGTGTGCTTGTCGTTATTTTTAAAAGAATATCACTACTGGACTTAACTTTTTTCTTAAAAATAGTTGAACATAGATAGGCCCTACAGTTCCGGAGTCAAGGGAATGGTAAATTTTCCCTTTTCTTAATATTTTTTTTTTAAAAACGATCGAGAGTGCATCAAAAATGTTTAAAAGAAACTGAAATGAACTATAATTTGTATTCTAAGTAGATAATTCACCAGTGTAATATAAAGCGACATAATATTAACAAGGTTTACAGTTTTCGTGACCTTTGACCTTGAATAACTTAGAAAGTCATGAGATTTAATGAAACGCTATTATATGACATTATTAGCGAATATTCGATTGGGCTTTTTAATATCACGTATCATATGATATTTTTATTTATTTAAACTTCTTTGCACAAATAAAGAGTACAAATGGTGGACTTAATGCTAGTAGGCATTCTATACCAGTCAACAGGAGAGTTATGGAATAGATACTTTTATATAAAAGTATCTATTCCATAACTCTCCTGTTGACTATTTACAATAAAAAAGACATATTTACAATAAAAATATCAAAACAATGGAATATACATAACAAACGTATTACATATCATAAATAAATATACATTTAAATACATATAATACAAACATACATAGATATAAAATATCAGATTAATTACAAGCAGTTGGGGGATTCAGAGGTTTTTCACACAACAATCGTTTGATAGTTAATTTATTAGGGGCAGCTTAAATATGGGGAGGGAGTGCGTTCCAGAGTCATATAGCCTGTAGCGAGAATGAGTTTGAAGTGAACCCTGTATGGTGAAAAGGAGTGGCGAGAATTTCTTTGCTGTCTGAGCGAAGATTGCGGCTGTGTGAAGCACCAAAAATCTGAAACTTATGTTTCAGGCGCACATGGATCTTTAATGATAGATTAAAGAGTAAAGAGTATCCTCAGAACACAATGCTAGCAAATAGTTTTCACCATTTTCACTTTTTTCTAAAAGAAGAGACATGATCGTATTTCCGAAGACAGAAAATAAGACGTATACAGTTATTGAGTAATCGGTCCAATTTGTTGAGAAGTTCTTGTGTGATATCAGCGTAACACACATCAGCATAATATATAATGGGAAAAACGATTGAATGAATTAAGAGGATTTTAGAGGAAATAGGAAGGAAATTTTTGAACTGATAGAAAGACCTAGGGTACCGATGACTTTGCGACTAATAGACTCAGTCTGCGCCTGCCAGTTCAACATGCTGTCGATACAAATGTCTAAGTCCACAACGTGAGAAGATATGGTTTAATTAAAATTGTAAATCCTTTTTTTTATTCCAGTATAGACAAGGAATTGTTATTGATTTTGTAATTGATAGGTACTGTCATAGTCTTTACAAATTTTCCTATTTCCTTTTTCAACAATTTCACACTTGCATCGTAACTTTGCTAGTGGTAGTCGTGTACTTATCTATCTTTATTTTAAATACTGTGCTATGCGATAGAAAAAGTTTTACCAAGTTTTTAAAAAGGAAGTAATAGAAAATCAAAACCAAACTCTGCAAAAGTTGCATGAAGATTTTAACGAATTGAAAGTGCAAATTTTTGAAATTAAAAAAACCCGGCAAAAAAATATTCATGAACAGCCACAAATTAACGAAAAAATAAATAGTTTTAATGTCGTAAGTGAAATGTGCCGAGTTCCAAATTGTAATATGTACTCAAACAAGATCTTGCTTCAAATAGTGAAAACTATATTATGTTCGTTACCAGAATAATTGCTATATTTTTATTAATTTTGCATTCACAATGCCACTGAAAATTATTCTTAATACAAAATGCTTAAAAAATCCACTTGGTCCCTGGCGCCCTGAGATGGGAATCGAACCCACGACCTTTCGCAATCCGGGCGACGGCTCTAACCACTGAGCTACCCAGGACCTAACAGGACTGACGAATCATTCAAGCACTTGTTACTTTTCGCTACTACAGAGCGTATTCTCATCAATGTTCAGGCATCCACCCAAACACCCGAAAGAAATATTGATACAAATATTGAACTTTCGATAAAGATGAGAATTTTGTTCTTTGGAAATCGAATCTGGAATCGAATCTCAGGGTGCCAGGGATCAAGTGGATTTTTAAGCATTTTGTATTAAGAAGAATAATTGCATCAAAACGATCAACAAAGTAGATTTAATAATCTGGTAATCTCTGGTATATCCTCAAGGAAAGGAGAAAACCTAAATACAAACTATAATGTGTAACATTAAAAAAAAAAATATATTCTAGTGATGTTTAAAATCTGCAGAAAACTAATTACCTCCAAATATTGTTATCAGCCACTCGAAAAAATTAAATGTTGGCGGCAGTGCGATTTCGCCGTGGACTTACGACAGCTGATGCTGGCCTGGATTGCCCATCTTCGCCGGTATTACAAATTGCTCTTTAAGCGTACTAGAGAACTTGGTTGAGAAAACAATATACAAATAAATCTCGACGGCGGGTTGCAAGATATTTCTTAGAAAAAAATTACACTTTTACCAAATAAAAGTTATTTTATATTGAAAAACAACTATGTTTATGTTTTGAAGATTATGGTGTTTTGAATACGAGTATAATGTTACTTTTAGATCATGGATAGTGGTAAACAAGTTGATGTCATTTACACAGACTACAGCAAGGCATTTGACCGGATCCAGCCCAATTTACTTCTGCTCAAGTTGCGAAACATTGGCGTCAATGGCGATTTGTTGAGATGGTTGACTTCATACATAAAAAACCGTTCTCAAGCAGTTGTTATAAAGAACTATATCTCTGGATGGTTGGCAGTCCCTAGTGGCGTTCCTCAAGGGTCGTTGCTTAGTCCTCTTCTGTTTGTAGTCTTTGTAAATGATATCGAGCAGTGTTTTAAGTTCTCTAAGCTTCTATGTTTCGCAGACCACTTGAAAATCGTTGCACCAGTCTCCTCTTTAGCCGATGCAGCTTTTTTTCAGGGCGACTTACTGAGGCTCGATAATTATTGTATCGATAATTATCTGGATCTCAATCCATCTAAGCGCAATGTCGTCATATATAGCCGTAAGAAAGAATTGAAAGAATTGGTCCACTTTGACTACACGGTAAAAAACACAAAGTTAAGTCGGGAAACTGTTGTCAGGGACCTAGGAGTGCTCTATGATAATAAGCTCATTTTTGAAAGGCATGTTGATAACATCATTTCTAAGGCCTCAAAAGCCCTTGGATTTGTGATGCGTAATTCTGGGGATTTCACTAAAGCAAAGACACTGAAAATATTGTATTGTACATTTGTCCGTAGTCATCTTGAGTATGCATCCTAAATCTGGAATCCTAGATACGATACATATATAATGCGCATTGAGTCTATACAGAGGAGATTTTTGAGATATCTCTGTTTTCGCACTAAGGATCATTATGACTCGAGACGCTATTTGGATCTTTGCAAAAAACATCATCTGCTCCCATTGGAAAGGCGCTGTGAGATTGCAGACGTTGTATATATAATGAAAATTGCATCTGGTGTAATTGATTGTCCTGAATTAGTTTCCAAATTTTTTCTTAGAACCTCAACAAAGCCCCTCAGATTTAATTCTCTTTTATATATCCCTCCCGTTTCTACCAATTATAGACAAAATGCATATCTTTGGCGAGCTCTTAACAATTTCAATGACCTATCAAGGCAGGCTAACTTAGATCTCTTCGACACTAGTGAGGTTTCGGCAAGGCGTATTTTAAGCAGTATGTTCTTCAACGATTTGTGAGTACCATGTAATACCTATATATCATTAACTACCGATTTTGTTATAGCTGGGTACTAGGTGTATGTGCGTGCTTGATTAATTTAATGACTATTGTAATACATATTAAGAGTAGTATGTTACTTTTGGTGGGGACTTTTAATTGGCTTTTTGTCTTTATTATAGTTTTATAAGATTTTTCATCGTATATCACATATGTCATTTTTATCACGGAATCCTGGTTGAACAACTGCTTTTTTGACGCCGAAGTTTTGGATGCTCGTTGTAATGTGTTTCGCTGTGATCGAAATATCCATCCAAGCACATGTGAGAGGGGAGGCGGCGTCATTATTGCAGTTCGGCGTGAACTACCACCGTTTGCTCGATATGACTGGAGTTATAGTCCTGGCGTAGTCTCATCTTGTATCACTGCGCGTAACGCACGCCCGTCGCAACTCATGCCGGAATACATCTAGGCAAGCATTGCGATTGCTCAAGCGCAGCGCTCTGTTGCCGCGTCGCAATCCACCGTCCGCTCCACAACTACTAAGTCTGGAGTAAACAACAAATATGTGCATCGAATGCCAAATCCCGGCACATACTTGCATAATGGTTGCGTATACATATATATCGCACAGCCGAAAGCATATTTCTATGTTGGAATCCTAACATGAAAAGATCAACGAGGTTTTAATATGTCAGTTGGATGATACATTTTAATGTAACTAATGCCGAATCGTATGTTGACCGTACAATCAATTGTATGAATTTACGCAATCAAGAAGCCATTATGACAGTTAATTTTGTGAACTTGCCGTCT